GATGGACTCTGAAAAACAAACTGAGGGTTCTAGAGGGGAGGGGTGGGGGGATGGGTTAGCCTGGTGATGGGTATTAAGGAGGGCACGTTCTGCATGGAGCACTGGGTGTTATGAACAAACAATGAATCATGGAACACTGCACCAAAAACTAATGATGTAATATATGGTGATTAACATAACAATAAAAAAATTAAAAAAAAATAAAATACAGAATACTAAGTTCATAGCAATCATGGATGTTAGTTTTTTTGGCTATTAGATAGTATTTTCTGAATTAACGATAGTCTTGCTCTTGCTACTAGTGGAATATACTTGAAGACTAGAATTGCTGAAAAATACGTAAAAGTTTTGGTTTCGTTGTAAGAATGGATACTCATGAGAGGATTGTTGGTTTTCTACTTTTGATTAATAACTGGCCCTTGCTTTATATCTCGCTGCTTAGCTGGATTTTTTTGAGAGAGAGAAAATTGCTTTTGATTATGAAATATATACCTATGTTTCCTTAAATAATGTACTTCTGAGAAGGCATGCAGGGAAGCGATTGTGTTTCTACTGTGTTCATTTTTTAATTGCAGATACATAGAGTGAATATAATAAAACTGGGATTAGAACCTATTTGAATAGAATGGATGTATATATTTTAATGGAAAGTAGAAAAGAAAAAGCTTTTAAAAGAGGAGAGTATTAATGCCCATCTCCCAGGGTAGCAGTGATCACAGAAGTTAAGAATAACTTCCAATAATTCCAAGCATCAAATGAGGAAAGTTGGTAACATCTAGTAATGTATTCATAAAGAACTTCAGCTTGCCCCCTCGGCCCCCTTCACCCCTCATTCACATCTCAAGTGACCTGACACTGGTGACTCAGCCCCCCTATTTCTCTTGGTGCAGTGTTCCTCTTAATCCCCTGCCCTTCCTTCTTCCCAACACTAAGTTTCCCATACATTTTGAGCCTATCCTATCCAGCTCGGTGCCTTTTCCCTAGAATTATTGCAAATGACTCCTAGTTACTTATTTTCCTCCAGTGAGGAGGAGACCAACTCAAATATCTGGGGCAGCTGAGATTGCTCCCAAAGAAAAATGCACCCAAAGGAGATGTTTCAGAGATTTATTCTTTTCAATTCTGAGCACTAGAACCCAAAATGGCTCACTTGCAACATCAGCCAGACCCAACAGAATAGGGGGTTGGAAGAAGAGACACACTGGCCCCTCCCTCACAGAAGAACACCAAGTGTCCCTATGCAATCAGTTCTCTACACGAGGATCCCTGTACACGTAATGCAGAGGAATTACAGCAGGAGACTTTTCACATTGGCTCCGTATGTTGTATATGCTTAGTATCTTTCTTAGACCTGCTTTTGTGTGTCCCTTTCTCATTCATGTTTTTTTTATTTTTTATTTTTTATTTTTTTTATTATGTTATGTTAGTCACCATACAGTACATCATTAGTTTTTGATGTAGTGTTCCATGATTCATTGTTTGCGTATAATACCCAAGTGCTCATTGCAATACATGCCCTCATTAATACCCATAACTGGGCCAACCCATCCCCCCATTGCTAAATTTCAGTGCCACAGTTCCAATGTTGATCCATTTTTCTCTTATAACTTCTTTGTAGACAGGTGTTAAAAGCACCTCCTAACATCCCCATTCCAAACTGCAGTTATTAGTACCAGAATATTCCAAGATCAGGCTTCCTCCCAGGCACAGGATTTCAGGGAAGCCTTGGACTTCGTTTCTGAGCAGGGTGTAAAGGCTGCATCCAACATGGAGGATTCTCGAGTGCACACAGTGAGACCTGTAGACAGCTCCCACCCGAGCCATCACTGACAGAAGACCTAGCTATCCCTTAAATTTTTGAATCCCATCATACCCAAATTGATGAACAAAAAACTGAGTGAATAACTCTAATTGAATGCTGAAGAGGCATTCAATTAGAGTTAGATTAATACTTCTCAATTTATATTCTCAATTTCATTTCATGAATTCTTCAATTAAAATGACCCATTTCATATACTTCTTTTAGCAAAAATGGTAGCAATATAAACATTTTCAGTCAGAAGTATATAAAAACTGGGTTCAATTGCCCAGGGAACTGATTGCAGTTTGAGTGGAGCATTCCAAGTCCCTTTCCCTGTGGATTATATACAAGATCAGTTTTGCTGTTTTAATTGCCAATTTCAACTTCATTATGTTCAGAAAATAAATGTGTAACATGTGTTTTTCTTCTCAGCATCCGAATCCAACTTTTAGTAGACAGGCCGTTATCTCAGGGACAAGTCTGGGTGCTCACTGAAATGTCAGGGCCTCTACTGCATCGAGGCCTCCCCCAGCCTCCCTGCCTCCTCTCCTACTTCATGCTAGTCCTTGGAGTGCTGAGGGCACCTGAGTGCAGGCAAAACCCTCTTCCATGATCCTCAACACATTACATTCCCCATCACCACACACCCACCCTTTCTTTGTATGCTCTTCTAGTTTTTTGTGTCTGAAATCCATATCAAATCCTTAAATCTGCACACACCCTGATCTACCCATTTCCTCAAGTCACTGTTTCTCCCCATGACTTCCTAATCTCCAACAGCCTTCCCATGGATTCTCTGTGTCCCTCCCAAAAGGCTAAGGGCTCACTGCTCTGTCTAGATTTAGCATCACCAGAGTTAAGGTCAGAAATTCCCTTTGTCTGTCCTCAGATATTCTTCCACATCCTTTATAGGCATCCCCAAAAGACCTCAATCATTATTTTTTAAATAAATTTTTATTGTTATGTTAATCACCATACATTACATCATTAGTTTTTGATGTAGTGTTCCATGATTCATTGTTTGCGTATAACACCCAGTGCTCCACGCAGAACGTGCCCTCTTTAATATCCATCACCAGGCTAACCCATCCCCCCACCCCCTCCCTTCTAGAACCCTCAGTTTGTTTTTCAGAGTCCATCGTCTCTAATGGTTCGTCTCCCCCTCCGACTTACTCCCCTTCATTCTTCCCCTCCTGCTATCTTCTTCTTCTTTTTTTTTTCTTAACATATATTGCATTATTTGTTTCAGAGACACAGGTCTGTGATTCAACAGTCTTGCACAATTCACAGCACTCACCATAGCACATACCCTCCCCAATGTCCATCACTCAGCCACCCCATCCCTCCCACCCCCACCACTCCAGCAACCCTCAGTTTGTTTCCTGAGATTAAGAATTCCTCATATCAATGAGGTCATATGATACATGTCTTTCTCTGATTGACTTATTTCACTCAGCATAACACCCTCCAGTTCCATCCACGTCGTTGCAAATGGCAAGATCTAGACCTCAGTCATTATTACCACAGAGTTACCTGGACAGGATTCTAGCACATTATTGAGCCCGAGGACTTTGTTTTCTCAAATGGTTTCTCTGCCACTTTTGTGTCTCTTCTCTAGAATAGCCAAAAATTCTGATCCTGACGAGATAAACAAGTTGTTGACATGTCCCAGTTCAGTGTAGCCAAAGTCCCTGTGGAGGACCAAATAGACTTACTTGGTAATTCCAGATACCAGATGCTTTGGATATCATATAGTAGCATGCTTAGCTTAGCTGAATTTAAGTGGAAAAGCTTCATGCTCACTGCCTTCCCCAGCAAGCCTTGGCTATCTTTTGAGATAATGACTCCTTGCCACTGCCGTGGCAAAGCTATCTCCAAAGGGCCCCCTGCAGTCTCAGCTGCCCTTCCCCAGGTCCATAAACTGCAGTTCAGCCTAGATTTGTCAGCCAGCTCTCTCCATCTCCTGCATCTCTCCTGTGTATCCTCAGTACACAAGTACATGCTCCTTTTTCCCATTCTACCTCTCTCTCTCTCTCTCTCTGTCTCTCTCCCTTTCTCTGTCTTTCTCTCTCCCTCCTCCTCCCTCCTCACCCCCTCCTCCACTTGCTCTCTCTTCTTCTGTCAGGAAGTTTAAAGCTCTATCAAAATAGGGGGGGAAAAAAGGAAGTGGTTTTGATATACATCTACATCAGACAAGTATACTTCCTGCTAGCTAGAAGGTGTGAATTACCCCTTAATTTATATAAAATTCAGCTTGTGGAGGAAGTCTAAGAGTAATTCTTGAAGATAACTGAATGAACATCTGTGCAGTAAGAATTGGGAGGTTAGGGTAGTCTGATTTACGATAGGAATTGGTATTCTCATTTTCCAAGAATGTTTGGCTGATGGCATTTATAATGGTCAGGTGTAACCTTCTAGAAGGAGAGGGGACGGTGCTTTGCCTCCACCCATCACAATACTAGCCCGGATCCAGTGCGGGCAAGAAAATACCTCTAGCCATTTGGGAAAATCTGTAGTAATATGACTTTTTTTACTTGGTGCTTTTCAATATTGGCCATTTCATAAGCCATGTTCGTATGTGTAACAGTGTTGTATGTAACATACAAAGGTAAACAACAGTAATTTATATCATGTATATTTCATTTACAAATATATTTTAATAAATCAATTTCAAATTTAATTGAGTCTCTTTAAGCCATGATTATATTTACTGTTAAACTTGTTTATGTTTTATCCAATGGCCACGGAGCAAGTAAATCTTTCTTGAATTATTTTTTACCTGTTCTGTAATCTTCTGCTCCAGGCTCAGAAACAAGTGAGCACAAAAAGTCCTCTGACACGAGTACCCAGACTTTGTGAGAGTTCCAGCTACTGTTTCCTGCCAGTGATTTTTTAGATCCAACTATGGGTTCAGAGCTGGAGCTTATCTGGGATTCTGCCTTTCCTTCCTGTCGTTCTATAGTCATCTCTCCCTGTATCAGGGAAAAGCCAGTGAGCCCACGGCAGTACTCGGTCTACTCTCAGAACTGAGACTCCTTCCCACCCCAACCACCTGCCAACTAAATGAGTACTAAGTGTCTCTGGGCGTGTCATTCCAAAGGGACCTAGTATTTTGAAGAAGGGACCCCATCTTTCCTGTGTACAAGAATGTGGACTGATGTCCTGTTGCTCTTTCCTAATTTGTGCTGTCCCCTTTCAGGTCCCTTTCAGTGCTACCATGTCACCAGTCCGCTTGCACTCCTCCAACCCCAACCTTTGTGCAGATATCGAATTTCAGACTCCCCCTAGCCACCTCACCGACCCTCTGGAAAGTTCAACGGATTATACAAAGCTTCAGGAAGAATTTTGTCTAATTGCACAGAAAGGTAAGGACAAATATAACGTGCCCTTTAGAGACGTTCTCTTCTTTGGTGAGAGGCTGCCATTTACTCTTCCATTCTTGTCCAGGTGGTCGTGGTAGAAAGACTAAGCAGTGTATATACTGATCAGAGTTCTAGATACAAAAATGCAGTGGGGTGTGATGCCTGCCTCTTGGTTCACAGTTTTGAACAGAGAAAGAAAGTGTCCTAAGCGGGGGAGAGAAAGGGGGAAAGACACAAAGAGTTATCCTAGGCAGGCCAGCACACACTATGACTCAACATCTCTTTTACAGTGTCGTTTAGTTCTCATTTAATACAGACTTGTGGGTTACCCTTAGCACTCGTTCTTTTTCCTTTATTAAATAACACTCGTTGATCATAGCTCAGGCTCAGGTAGGCAGTTCTGTGCCATGTGGCACGGCCTGGGCTCGGTGATGTTTGGCCAGAGGCTGGGCTGGGCTGAAAGATCCAAGGTGGCTTCATCCATATTCCTGGCATGTTGGTGGGATGGCTGCAAGGTCACACACAACTGTGTCCCTCTCGCTCTCCATGACAGCTCAGGGCTCCAAGGGAGTGGAATAGACTGAGATGGAAGCTGCCAGTTCTGTTCACTTGGCACAGCATCACCTGCTGCTCCCTACTGGCCAGAGCTTCACGGGCTAGTTCAGATTTGAGGGGAGGGGAAATTGAGCCCACCTGGGAGTCCCTTTTTTCATATTAAATTTTCAGTAAGGCATGTTGCATAAGTTCATGTGTTATCAGCCACAGAGAGCAGGGTCTAATAAATAAGAGGCAGGTAGTAGCTTGTAGGTAGGCTGATGAGTCCTGTCTGTGTTTACCAAGAGCCTGGGTTCCAAATTACCACCCTCCACTTTTGCTATAGCATTTACATTTCAGTTGCTGAAATTCATTTTTTGACTTAAGATAGTACCTTCCCAGGCGTTGTCTTTGAAAATGCATAATCTCTTGAAGAAAGATACACATGCTGTGGTTTTTAGCCATTAACATCTTATTGTGAGTTAATCATATTAATTTACCCTGAGGCTGTTGGTAATAGGTGATAAGATATTCCTGAAAATGTGTGCTAAATGGAACATCTCCTGTGCCCCCATAATGCTCAAGAGCCTGGTGGCTCAGGAAAGAAGGGGCACACACCGAGAACATCTCTAGGAATGTTGAAGTCAACAAAATTTCATACTCTCAAGCCATCATCAAAGATGTACTTATCAGATATTTCTTTAATTCTATAATCATAAACAATTAAGCTAAATCTTTTCCCCCACCCCACCCTTCTTTCTCTGTAGATTTCTCACTTGAGGTTCTGAAAGACCACCTCTCTTTCACCTGCTATTTTACTCCTGATACATTTTTGTTACATTTCTTAGCCAGATACTAATTATGTCATTAGATTAGAGCAGTGTTATTTTCTTTATATAACAGCATAGGATTATGGCCAGTAACTCTTACTTCTAACGGCAAGGGGACAAAGGGGTGGTTGTAGGAGCAGGCAGAATGAGACAACAAATGTGTGAATTAAGTACATATAGCACAACCTCCAAAGGGAGGTGAATAAATTCAAAAGTAGCCCCAGGAAAGCCTTGTGTATTCGCTTGCAGTCCTGAGGTTTTCAGGAAATCCATGTTTCAACAGGATTTTAAAGCCTCTGTTGAAACAACGTATTTTCTTTCCAAATATGCTAGAAAAAAAGGGCTTTTCTATGACTACTGAGCGAGCTCCTTAGAAAGAACTATGGATTTTGAAATGTATGAGAGTCAGCTTTTAGAACTGCCAGTGGGGTGAATGTGTTCCAGCTATCGAGTTATTACCTTTAAATTGATGATGACTAGAATGTGGCATATAAATCAATAGATTGTGAGTCCCTTGTGATCCCATCATTTTCCCCCTCTTCATTCAAGCCAGTGTTTTTTGCTAACATTTTCCACTTCTTTTAAAAATAACTGTTCTCAAATATGGAAATCCCTATTTTAGAAGACTTTCCATATTATAGAAACTGTTATTATAAAGATAGGAGTTGGAAATCCAAACTTCCTGTATTTCAAACTCAAAGACTACCTCAGTTTCTACCAACGTATGTTATTAGGTATACAGAAAAGGGGGGGTGTTGTTTTTATTGTTGCTTTTATTTTGTTTTTTTGTAGCTTTATTAAGATATGATTAACATATAACATTTCATAAGTTTAAGGTGCACCTGTTGATTTCATACACTTAAATATTACAAAATGATTACCATCATAGCATCAGCTAACATGTCCATCCTGTCACATAATTACCATTTCTTCTTTGTGGTGAAAACATTTAAGATCTACTCTCTTAACTTTGAAGTATATAATACAGTGTTATTAACTCTAGTCATCAAACTGTACATTAGATTTCCAGAACTTATTCATCTCAAACCTGGGAGTTTTATTCTTTGAACACACTGCTTACATCAAGATGTTCCTGGCTGAGAAAGTAATTCAAGTGCTGTTCTCAAGACCAAATCATTCCCTACCTCAAAGAGAACTAGTCAGGACTTCTAGATCAGCTTCCTGTTTTATTTTGGCAGGATTTATAAAATGCTCTTTTTTGCTACCTGCTTTGGGGAAATAATATCTGGATAGTTCTAAATGATTTGCATGAGAATTCACTGTACACAGAACTGTTCAAATATTCTTATCAACCACGACAATGTAAAACCTGTTGCCTTTTCCTTCTAGGAATGATAGATTAATTTTCTAAATGTTGATATTTAAGAATTGACATCAGTATTTTATTATATCCTGCATCTAAGTCGTTTCTGGTATGACATGCCCAAATTTTCACTCTGATTAATTACCATTACCATATTCATTTTGTGTATAGGTATTTTGGAAGATTGCATTGTAAGGCTGACTTTTAACTAGACTGTAATATAATTCTTCCAGATAATGTCTATGCATGAGTTAAAGTGCTGAGAAATTTGTAATTTTGTATATTCTTTCTGGATCCATTTAATCTTTGTTTCTCACTTTTTCCCCCACCCAGTGCATTCTCTTCTAAAGTCTGCCTTTAATAGCATAGCTATAGAGAAGGAGAAGCTTAAGCAGATGGTTTCTGAGCAGGGTCACAGTAAAGGCCCCAGCACGCAGATGGCACGTCTCCGACAGTCACTGTCTCAGGTAAACGAGAGTGTTTGTTTCACTCTCATGGTGCATTCCCGACCCCATAGGGCAAAAGATCGGGGTGGAGGTGGTCCGTCACGCATGGCACGTTCAACCAAAACTCCCCCAAGACACTGCAATATCAGCATTGAATTTTAAAATTCTTTAGAAATTAATCAATTAAATTAAAGTTGAAGTTAAACGTTTCTTGCAGACTAGGTCAAGGTAAGAGTAAAAATCAACCAAACTTGTTTGTAAACATATAATTTTTTTTTGGCTGATTTGAATACTTTTGATGGCTCTCAATGGTCATTTATAAGACCACCATAAATCGTGGATTTATACGTGATTTACACTTCTAAAATATGTTCCAGAATATATTTAATCCAGTGTTAAATACAACAGAATCTACTAGATCTTCCACACTTAATATTTTCCCACTTATACCACATCTTAATCTGTTGAAAATTATTGCTTACTCTTACCTATTTTTTCTTTTCTAATTTATACTTTTAGAATTTTCTTCCTATCTAAGTTATGCTCCCTGGAGCTAAACTTATATATTTCAAGATATATTGTACATCATAAAATATATTATTCAATATATGTTCATTATATATTATTCAGCATATATTGATCTTCGTAATACTCATCAAATACCTATACATATCAAAGTTGAAATTTCTGATAAAAATCCTTTAAAACTGCACTTAATGCTTTTTTACCCTGAGCACTTCCTCTGAAATATTTCCTTCATTTAGTCTATAAATGCACTTTTAAAAAGTCCTTTGAGAATTCATTGTTGTTATGTGATTTTTGTGTGAGAACTCAGTGTTTATATAAAATATTATTCACTTCCTGGTGCCTTGGATCAGAGTGAAGGAGCGAGCAAATCCTGGGTAAGTGGTTTTCCATGTGGATCGGCTCCTGCTTGAATAGTTTCCCTCAGTCCCTAAAAATAGACAAACTGTCTCACCGTGTTTTATGTACCTGAACTGTCAGCTTACCCTCAGTGTTAAGTTTCATGCTATTGAGTATTGTTACCTGGGCCACACTTGCTGTGTTCACCATAAAACACTGTCAATTGAGGTGCATATCCCGCTTCCGGTGCAAAACCAGGGGGACTTGGGAGCATGAGCACTCAAAGCTGCAACTGTTGTGCCGGTCTGCAAACGGCTTTTTCCCTAAGCCCACTTTAATGGTTTGCCTTGGGCTCCTCATGTCATGTATCTGCTGAACACTCAGTCTGTGGTAATTGATCTTCGGAATCATTATTCTGAAAGTATCATGAATCAGAGAGATCAAAATAATGGTTAGGTAAACATACAGATGCCATCCTGTAAACATGCAAAATATACTTATCCCCCTAAATGTTGCAGTGTTTCCTTCAGATGTATTAAATGATAGAGGCTTAGTGGTATACGCTTGTATTAAGAAAAATAAGAAAATGTACTTGTTTCTTTTGTTTTTCCTTTGCACAAACATTTTTTTTAAGTTTTTATTTTAATCTTCCGGTGCTTATCACAAGTGTACTCCTTAATGCCCATCACCTATTTCCCCATCCCCAACCCAGTTCCCCTCTGGGGACCATCAGTTTGCTCTCTATAGTTAAGAGTCTGTTTCTTGGTTTGTCTCTCTCTCTTTTTCCTTTTGCTTATTTGTTTTGTTTTTTAAATTCCATATATGAGTGAAATCATATGGTATTTGTCTTTCTCTGACTGACTTATTTCACTTAGCATTACAGTCTAGCTCCATCCATGTTGTTGGAAATAGCAAGATTTCATTCTTTTTATGGCTGAATAATACTCGTGTGTGTGTGTATCATATAGATCATGTATATATCCTGTGGTAATTCTATTTTTAACTTTTTGAGGAATTTCCATACTATTTTCCACAGTGGCTGCACCAGTTTGCATTCCCACCAACAGTGCAAGAGGGTTCCTTTTGCTCCACATCCTCATCAGCACCTGTTGTTTCTTGCGTTTTTCATTTTAGCCATTCTGACAGGTATAAGGTGATACTTCATTATGGTTTTGATTTGTATTTTCCTGATGATGAGTGATGATAAGCATCTTTTCACGTGTCTGTTGGCCAGCTGTATGTCTTCTTTGGAGAGATGTGTGTTCGTGTCTTCTGCCCATTTTGAATTGGATTGTTGGTTTTGGGGGTGTTGAGTTGTATCTGTTCTTTATATATTTTGGATACTAACCCTTTGCCAGATACGTCATTTGCAACTATCTTCTCTCCATAGGTTGTCTTTTAGTTTTGTTGATTGTTTTGAAAATGTATTTGTTACTTGCTTGCTTGCTTTTATTTGTTTGTTTGTTAAGACAGAGAATGGCGGGGGCGCCTGGGTGGCTCAGTCGTTAAGCGTCTGCCTTCAGCTCAGGTCATGATCCCAGGGTCCTGGGATCCAGCCCCACATCAGGCTCCTTAACTCGGCGGGAAGCTTGCTTCTCCCTCTCCCACTCTCCCTGCTTGTGTTCCCTCTCTCGCTGTGTCTCTCCTTGTCAAATAAATAAATTTTAAAAAATCTTAAAAAAAAAAAGAATAGGAAGTAGAGATCTGGTTTGTGGCATGGCATCAGATTAGAAACGATAAAGAGGAATGTTTAAAGTGATTCATTTGTTCATTCATTTATTCACTGTATTTCATTCAACTGACTATATATTAGGTATAGTGCAAGATTTAGAACACCAAGATAAAAGTAACACTGGCCATGTCCCCAGGAAGCTTATGATCTGATTAGTGAGATGAGCAGTATTTACCAAGGAAACAGTTAAATGGACCAGACTCTCTAGTCCATTCAGAGCAGCATATGGGTGGTGCAGATTTCCAGGGCTCTGGTTGTTCATAAGAATGGGAGATCCCTGACCTCAGAGCAGAGCCACAGATCAGGAGGAACTGAGCTTTGAATTGGGCCTGAGTAGACAGCAGCAGTTTACAAGGAACAACCTGATGCTAACATGATACAAGTAAAATAAAGCAAAGTTGTATCAACTTTACATTTTGGAGGTTAAGTATTTTCTCCTCTTGTCAAAACATAATTTATTTACCTCTAGACTTAGAGCTTCAATAGATTTTTGTTGGGTTGTTGTGGGGTTTTGTTTTGTTTTGTTTTGTGGTGGGTTTTTTTTTTTTTTTTCACATATATATATATTTTTAACCAGAAAGCTCAATTTTACCCTCAAAAAATGTAAAAATAATTCAGTACTCTAAAAACACTGGAGAATTCAGTGCTTCCTATTGTGTGTCATCACAGCATTTCATGTTCTTATGTCTGACCATACCCTCCCATTGGACCAGTTGTACCCTAGCTGGCCGTCTATACTCGTTGCCCCTAAGGCTGGACTCTCTTTTGGAATTCCCCATCGCTTGTGGGGAATTAGACATGTAAGCCTATAGACAGTTCACTCCCTTCTAGGGATTCACTGTCCATGGTTAGACCCCTGGAGAGGTATCTGGAGAATGGCAGTTAACTCATAGTGGCCTAAGCATGGGGTGAACAAGGAAAAATTAATCTAGAAACAGCGAAGTAAGTAGATGGGAACCAGCTCATCAAAGACCACATGAAAGAGTTTAGATTTATCTCATCAGTGCTGGGGAGCCCTTAAAGAATTTTAACTCGTGAGTGATTAATGCCAGAAATTGAAAATATGAGTGTATATTTCTGTATCTAGAAAGCTTACTCTGGTATAGTATGGAGGATGGATGGAATTAAGACAAAACTAGTTGGACAGAATCTTAAGATATTTGAGATAATGCAGGCCTGAACTCAAGAAGTACCAGAGTTTCAAAGGCTAGGGGAGGGGGGACTGGGTAGAATCAGCATGGCTTGGAGATCAGCGGCATGTTAGACAGGGAAAAGGAAACAGGGTCAAGACTCCTTGTGTAGCACAATAGTAATAGTTCTTCTCCCTGAGATTGGGAATACAAGAGGAACTGATTTTTCAGGCCTAAGTAGTGATTTTTTTGGAGACTGAGGGGTCTGTGGGCCATCCATCAGACAATCAGATATATAGATGTAGAGCTCAGGAGAAAGGTCTGGCTAGAAAGAAAGATGTGGATACCCTGGTACATTGGTAAGGTTATAGATATTGGTAAATCAGAAGAAAAGAGGGTCAGTGGTGCTGCTATATAGAACATTAATTGTTAAAGGACATAGCAAAAAGAGGATCCTTTGATGGAGACTTAGGGAAGGAGCCAAAGAATTTAGATGGCGCTGGCCATTGAGATCAATGGTAAAGGGTTTTGATCGTCTCAAAAAGAATCCGATTAAGCAGCAAATAATATATGGACTGAAAGTCAGCCTTGGAGTTTGATAGCTGTGTCAGCATGTTCGTATTGTGAGGGGAAGGAACCGGAGATGAGACATTGAAGATGGAAACAGTTAACTGAAGGAACCATCCTGGTTGGCCAACTCTGTTTTCACTGTCCCTCTTTCAACATAGTACTTGGAATTGAACAAGATACTTACATAGCATATATTGAGACAAGTGTTCTGAGTACATCTTAGCATAACTTACATATTAGCATAACTTCACGTTGTAGTGTGATTTTAGGTGGCCTGAAGACATCTTCGATCCATATTCAAGTGTTCTCAGTTAAACTTACAGATATTTTTCTTATAACCAGTTAAGTCTCTCCACAGAGAGGGAAAGAGAGAGAAACTGTGTTTAAATAACTTCTTAAATTAGTCTAACATTTTTAAAGTATATTTTTTATTTGTTATACGTCCTATTTGATATATATAAAATTATTAAAATGCTGCTTTTCAATACAGCTTTTAAGGATATCAACTTGGCAAATTCTGTCATCCTTTTAGAGGACACATAGCATATAAAATACGTGAAATTAGCATTCTTCACTACCTGCTCAGAATAATTGTTGCCTGCCTTGGGCATGTAATAATTTACAAGGCTAAACAGGATAATGAATTCCTCTTCTAAAGTGATATTTCTTCCCTGATCTATGTGTACACAAAGACATACATAATTCTGTTATTTTACCTCCATGAAACTTTAAAGGTAACTTTTACACCTGAGAGGCAGCATAGATGTTTGATTCGAACCTGTAAGACCAGGCATTGTGTGTTGTGTCTATCCCTTTATAAATGACTTTCTTTCACAGCTACAATTTCACATCCTCTAATGTAGTATCCTGAACCCCGAGATCAAATAGTATATAAGACCAAGGTAATTTCAGTACCTCAGGTTACTATGATAATAAAAGATTTGATTTGACTTGAGTCTGTCTTTAATACATTACTAGTTTGGTCTCTGGCCCCAGAATCTATGCACAGCTTATGCTAAATATAGTTGGTGTTGGGTCCATATAAATGTGAGCAGTAGAATATGTCCCTTGTACTTCAGCTGGAATTACTATATTTCATTAAATCAACATGCCATAGATTGTTAGATGTACCATCATTATGTGCATTACTAAAAAAGAAAGCAAACTGCTGTCAATGAAATTGACAGTCAGAGGTGTTAAAGGTAGGAGGAAATGTGCATCTTAGAATCAATGAAATACAGTATATATGGAAATGTAAGCAAAAAATCAACTTAAGGCATAGTACCATAATTAAAATCCCGATTGTAGTATTTTCCATCCTTCCTGTCTGCACCATTTCACATACAGAAAATAAATACTCTGGGGTATTTATTGGGATAAAACTTCCAAAGTATTCCTGAATCTAAATTCCCTGAAACGTGGCAAAAGTTGTTGTGCATGAAGATGTTCTTCATAGAATTATTTATATCTCTTTTTAGCTACCCAGTAAGTTTAAATTGATGTCAATTTGGACATTATTTGGCAATATTTCTTCTGCCTTAAAAAGATTTTAACCCTCTGACCCATGACTGATATGTCTAGTCTGAGAAAGTAATGCTGAATGTAGAAAACCATCATGCATACAAACATTCACGGCAGCATTATTTATTCTGAAAAAATCAGTAATACCATAAGTATCCAATTATAGAAGATAATCACTTATTAGGCAACTATTAAAGTTATATTTGTGAAGAGTTTGCAACATTAAGTAAAATATTTATATACAAAGAATAAGTGATGTAAAGTATGCACCCATTAAGTAATGTGGAAAATGTATCGGAAAAAGCTAGAAAGAAATATACCAGGCTACCAACAGTTGGTTGATAGGGTAGTAAGTTATGAATTTTTAAAAATTTTTTTTTACTTTTTGTATTTTCCAAATATACTGTAGTAGTATGTACTTATCTTAAAATTTAAGAAAAGAAGGTGATTTTTAAGTAATTCCCGGGATTTGACTCTTGATCACTCTAGCTTTGACAGCTTCCGTACTGATTTTCTCACTCCTTTTGAACCAGTTTTGCTTTTATCCAAAGGGCTTAAGTCTCTGATGATTCCATCTTGCTGTATGTTTCATATCCTTCAGCCCTCAGGCTTCCACGTTTCCTTCCCAGAACCCGCAGTTCTGTTCGGTAAAATGTGTCTGTCCGAGACTCACCCAGTGGAAGGTCATCCTCATCCATTGTCCGCCAAGGTGGATAGTGGTAGTTAATAGCCAACAGGGTGGGGATTTGGACAGCTAATTCTGGCTGGGGATTTCAAGATGGTAACTTCTATAGATTGAGAAGGAACGGTTTGCTTCTTGGATATATTAAACTTGAATGTGTGTGAAGGACATGAGGTGTGGGGAAGAGGGAGAGTGGAGAGTTTTGTGCGTAGTCCAAGGTCACTAACTCAAACAAGTAGTGAGAATAAGCCTAGAGTCTGTCTGGTGAAGAATCTAAGCACAGTCCCTGTGGTGCTCCCTCCCCGTTAGGTCTTTGGTCCCATCTGCCACTAATGGAGCAATGTCATTACTGACAAGTCTCCTTAAGCTTCTCTTGCTCAATGGCTGGTGTGAGTAGCTGATGATGCCCCTCCTTTTTCCTTGTTTCTCCACTGTTCATGAGCCTTGGGTACGTTCTGAATGTTGTTTCTGCCATCATCTGGGCTCTTCCATGTTAATTATCGCTAGTAGTGTCCTTTCACAGAAAATACCTATATTCCTCCAAGTTCCAAAGATTTCCGTGATATCATTACGGAGTAAATAGTCGTGTTTCAGGGAGGGAAGTAATAAATGTGGTCTTGGGCACTGCCTTAGAGCATGACACCACAGAGCTCGTGGCACGTGGCTGTCGCAAACGTCAGAAACAGTCTGTATGATCAAGGCAAAAGGAAGAGCTACCCGGGGAAGATGTGCAGAAATGGACCATTGCACGCTCTGCTGTCTGCCCGCTTCCACCTTCTGCCGCTGGGGCCACCAGACTTGGAAGAGTACTTATTTCCATGCTTTGGGGGGCTATAGGACAACGACCTTCTTCTACCACTGCATATGTATTATTAATAAAATTTTCCTTTTGAACTTTTAGTTCATCCCCTGTTGCTACTATGGCTAGAGGTGTTACCCTGTGTGCCTTCACACACACCTGTAGACACAATTGCATTTCATGACAATTGGCTGAGATAAGAGCTTAAATGAGAATTTCACTTAAGCTATCCGGAGCAAACAGTAGTACCAGTTTCGTGACAAATGGCAAGCCTGTGTTGAAAACTCCTACTCTGAGGAAAACCATTATTTATCCTCGCTGTGGAGTTTGTGTGGTGTTGTTTTGTTAGCTCTGTTCCAGTGACAACATACAGTGCAGTCACTTTGGAGGAACCCTTCATCGAGGTTTGTCTCAAACCATCAGGTCAAGACTATGATTCTGTAGTTAAAACCGCCAAACGACCCACCACGAGGCCTCCCACCTAAAGGACAGTAAAATATATCTGATTCCAAATATTTCAGTTAACAAGACAACTTTCAGCATATTTATGGGCAAAGAAATAGTGAAAGAACAAATAAGCATAGGTCTAGTGGTCACAAAGGATGGGGTAACTACCAAGTGTTTGAGATTTTGCTCTGGGAACAATGACCCTGAGCACTTTTGCAGCATGTCACGATATTAGGATTCTTCCTTTAAAGTACATGGTTTATTTACTATAAGAGTAATCATCTCTTATCTAAATAACACATTCCTGTTTTCTCAAGGAGCTAGACACATATCTCCTCCAATACATAAACGTAGCAACTGTAAGATCTGTATCCACCTTTAATCCATCAATACCTGACAGCCGACCAGACCACGTGTGTTATATTTTACACATTTTTACAAGCTGGTTGTAGAGACTTTAAACAAAAGCCAAAAGCTGTGAGTGAACAGTTTTCTCCTCAAAAAGCAGAAGCCGTGTTGGAGGGAGAGAGGAGAGGCCGTTCTATGCTCCATGCTCAAGGACTATGCACTGCTCAATGCAAGTGTAAAGTTTAGCCACTCTGTAGTTTATCCTGTTTTAATAGATACAGAGTTAGAATTATGATATTATATTTGTCTGTGTATTGGTTTACTATATCCATACACTCCATCTGAAGAAAAGCATTATGCCCCTTCTCTGGGGGAGATGCCTTGGTAAGTTCTGACATTTCTCTTCCACCCAGTAAGGCATCCACCTCCGTCTTCTCATTGCTGATTTTAATGCAAAGGAAAGGAACTGTCCAGCTTCTCACTGGTCTTTGTTCTCCCATGTCCTTTGATCCTTGATGTAATTCCAGTTCGCTACATCTATCTTATATTTAGGGAACATGTTCCCATGCATCCATGTGATGCAAGTACCTTTGTCCACAGGGCACCTGTAGGGAGTAAAGCTTATGTAAAGCTCTTCTCTTCTTGCCACACGTCCTAAACTGTTATACCAGGTAGCGTTTTACTGCTGCAGACTGAAGTAGTGACGCTGATAACTTGGAGTTAGTTCCTTCCAGTGATATGTTCTTTATTATGCTTGTCCGTGTCTACGCTGCTCAGGTTTTGGGCTGCACTGTCGTGTGTATGTGCTCCTAAAAAATGAAAATACAACTACTTTTTCACTGGAATAAAATATAATTCTATAAATTAAAACCAGTTTATTGTTCATCCCACTTCCAAATAATTTTTAATATCACTATCTGGCATGGGACAACTCCCAAATTTTAGAAACTAGAACCCAAAATGGAAAGAATCAGTAGTTTTTATCTCCGGCTGCAAAACATAATATATATGTGGTGGTAGACCGGGCTTGGATGTAATGGGCCTGAAAGAGGGAGAAAATTCCATGAATCATTTTTATGAAATCCACGAACTCTTTCAACCCACTAACCTACTGATCAGTGCTCTTATTTTATAAAAAATTAATACCTTAATTCCAAGCCATTCATTTCCTTCTTACTGTAGGATCTGGCCTATGATGACTCCAAAAATTATAACTAAGAACATCATAGACTCTTGTCCACTGTGTATTTGTGTGTTTATTCTGTTTTATGCTTGCTTATTAACTTGAAATTACATGTGCAATTTTTGTTATTTTAAGGCACTCAACCAGAATGCTGAACTAAGAAGTCGGTTGAACAGAATACATTCAGAATCTATTATTTGTGATCAGGTTGTCAGTGTAAATATTATTCCTAGCCCTGATGAGGTAAGATTCATTTTTAATAGATGTAGAATGCTTACTTTATAGCATCTAAATCAACTACATATTTCGGGGTTTTTTTATACAGTTCTTTCACTGTTAATAAGATTCTCTGCATAAATATTTGTGTTGTTGACAGTTCAGTGTTCTTTGGAGTGAAGGATGTACATGAGCTCAATATCATTTATTCTTGGTGATCAGTCTCTATTTGTATTTATATCTGTGTTCACCTGATGCTACTGAATATTTAATTTATATATCTATTCCAGCTTGTGAATTCTCTGTGTCTGTCACAGTTTTCCTTTGAAATGTTCCTCCTCATCAAATGGTCCATGAAATGTTGGGGGGGAAAATATATATTTAGCTGAGAAGGTGCTAAATGAAAACTTTCTTAAGGTTTATTTTAAAAGCCCTATCTTAGGAGAAATCACCTAACCTTACTAAGATAATACTAATGATGCTATTATAGCCATTAATAGTGATGCTGATAATTAATAGCTAGCACATGTCAAGTGAGCGCTTACTGTGTGCTGAGCGTCGTGCTAACAACATCACATGTGTTATCTCATTTGACACTCCTAATGATCTTTGAGGTAGGTGCTATTATTACTCCATTTTTCAGGAGAATTTTTGACATAATGCTAAAAGGACAGGAGAACATTCAGTATTTGGGCTAGACTTAGTGTATAATCCTGTTTATAACCCTTTATAAAAATTACTATTTTATAACCATGAGAATTTACACTTTTCAACAGTAATATTAGAGCTTTATATACAGTGACATATAATAAGGTGAGAGTTTTAACTCATGTGAAGGTCATATTTCCAGAAAAACATACATTTTACTAGAAATCTACAGGTGCCAAGGTCCTGCCATCTAATTGCTTAGGAAATGCCATCCCGAGACAGCTTTTCGATTTAAGTTGCCAACCCTATGTCCGTTAACCTTCATGCATCACATGGCATCCGGGGACCGTCATGCTCACTCAACTGCTGAGAATCCAAAAGTATTTCTACAGCTTCATCATTCAAAAGTTAACAGTCTTAGTTTGAATCTTTGCAATCTGATATTTGTACTGTATATATATAAATAGTACTGAATAAAAATACAGTTTGCTGTAGGTTTAATACTCGAGTCATATTATCTCATTGGTTAAAGTTCATGACCAAATTGGAAAGTGACTTTTATATATTCTGTCTTAAAAATTTAGTTTTATAGTGTTTTCTTAGCATATCTCTAGTGGTTTCTACAAATATGTCTTGAGATTTAGCATACTGGTTAGAATAGAGCTAGTAATGATGGATCTAAGAATATGAGAATGAACCTGTCTCCATAATCAATTCAGGGTCTTCATAGAGGTTCAAGCGGTTAAACTCCACTTAATATCCGTTAAGCATTGATTTGAAATCAAGTCACAGTACCATCACCTTTCAGCCATGCCTTTTGGATTCTTTAGACATATTAGAAGGAAACTTAGGCCGTGGTCATTACTGAGTTGCAAGTGAAAATTACTTGTCACCACTCTTTTAACATATGGTGTGCATTTCTCTAGAAATCTGGTCTAGTACGTCATGGTCTAATTTGAACAAATAGTTCTCTTTCAAGGGAATAACAATGACACCAAATGCTTCTGTCTTCTATAGGCTGGTGAGCAAATCCATGTCAGTCTCCCCCTGTCACAGCAGGTAGCCAACGAGAGCCGCCTCTCCATGTCAGAGTCTGTCTCTGAGTTCTTTGACGCCCAGGAGGTGCTGCTCTCTGCAAGCTCATCAGAGAATGAGGTAAGGTTTTTTGATGTGGCAACCCCAACTGCTGCTTTTTTTTTTAAATTTTTAATTTATTTATTTTTTTTATTATTCTGTTATGTTAATCACCATACATTACATCATTAGTTTTTGCTGTAGTGTTCCATGATTCTTTGTTTGCATATAACACCCAGTGCTCCATGCAGTACGTGCCCTCCTTAATACCCATCACCAGGCTAACCCATCCCCCCACCCTCTCCCCTCTAGAACCCTCAGTTTGTTCCTCAGAGTCCATACTGCTTCTGATGAGGAGTTTGGGTGAAAGAAAGTAAGACTATGGGGACATTTTTTTCGTTCTTGTATTTATTTATTTTTTTTAAAATCACAGTAAGATTCTCAAACTGTAGAAAAGCCAAAAGCATGCAAACTACATTGGTTCCCATTTACTGAGCACTGAACACTTCTGCATGCCAACTTACTACTTATTAAATTTGATGAATAAAAGGAAAGAATTTAGCATTCATTCGGACACTGTTGTATGATTTGTATTTCAGGATAACCAAATAGTTGATGGCAGAGTTTTTTGTAGAAGGAGAATAGTTAAACGGAGAAAGAAAGGATGAAAGAATTTGAAAATCACCATGTATATGCGTGTATGTGCATGCACGGACATATGCACCCCCCCCACACACACACACACTACATCTTTACCAGAGACATGAATTTGAGCTTCTTTAGAAAGGTGATGTCTAGAATATCTGGTTGGCTAATTAAGGGTTTTGGAGGTTAGCACTGGCTAACATAAAAACTTTTTCGTTATTTTTTACTGAGGTATAATTTACATACAACATTATTTTAGTTTCAGGTGTACAACATAAGAATCGATATTTGTATATATTGTAAAATGATCACCACAATAAGGCTAGTTAACATCTGTCACCATAGTTACAGAATTTTTTTCCTGTGATAAGAACTTTTTAGATCTACTCTCATAGCAACTTTTGGATACGCAATACAGTATTATTAACTGTAGTTGCCATGCTGTACATGACATCCCCGGGACTTACTCATTTTATAATTGGAAGTTTGTACCCATAAAGATTTTTTGGAATGTTCTTCATGCTCGTAAGTCTTGGCTAGGTCTTGGAAGCCGGGAATCTTCATTGATCAGGTTGCAGAAATCGATTCTTTTACTGAAATTTAGTCAAGCATACTTAGAATTTTCTTTTTCTTTCCTTCCTTCCTTCCTTCCTTCCTTCCTTCCTTCCTTCCTTCCTTCCTTCCTTCCTTCCTTCCTCCCTTCCTCCCTTCCTCCCTTCCCTGGGAGAAGCAGCCAAAACTCCTTCCCATACAGTTGATTAAAAGTTTTGTCATTTGAGGTTGCAAATCTGTACTGCATTTTTACAAAAAGGAAATGAAATAGTTGCTGAATGTTATTTCCATATGCATAGAAAATAGATTGGAAGGAAACATCCTGATAATTAGTCGTAGTTGTTTTTGGATGTTTGAAATTATGAGTGATTTTAGAAACAAAAATAAGTGGAGAAGAGAAAGAAATGAACACATACCACTTCTATAATGGGGGAGAGGTAAAATAGCATTCTTGTATCGCGTACTAAATTTGTTACCACACCAAGCCACGCAACTGCCTCTCTGATCCCTGGTCCTATGTTTACCGATTCACAGAGACTCCCGGGTACAAGCCGGAGTACTAGTTTAATTATTCATAATGATAATTGGTCAGATGCTATCAGATGGACAAAATAATTATGCTTGCTGATTCGTGTCTCTTTCCCTAAGGCCCACCTGCATGGGAAGCCTAGCTCTAGTCAGGAGGTTGCTTGGTGAGCAAGGAATGGGAGCAGGAACAGTGACTTGAGTGAACTAAAGGCTAGGAGGGCCGGGATGTCATAATGACACTCTTTTGTCTCTATTATAGGGATACTGTGCCACATGGACAGTGCATTTGTGCCTGGGAGCCAACCATGCTGGAGGCATGCTACCAGCATTTTCTTTTCTGACTCTCTTTTCTCTGACCTCCCGTTGCTGACCAGTCCTTCATCCTCTTCAGTCAGGTTCCAGTCAAATTTGGCTTCATGTTATTGGAGCTCTGACCCGTCAGTTGATGACTTCATAGCTGTCTCTCTGAAAGCAACCTAATTTCCCTATTTTTAAGTTCTTGGAGACACACTGGCTGGGGACCCAAGTGCCACTCATAGCAGACACTGACAATACGGAAATGAAGGGGACGCGAAGTGGGTTATTCCACAAGTCCAGGCAGCATGGTGGTGCCAGCCGAGGGAAGAGTGATCCTGGTGGTGGAGAGAAGGACAGGGGTTGTGTGGACATCTCCACACAATGTGGGAATACACAATGATGTATTCACCTGGAGGCATTGTGAGTTGATCAGACCTCTCAGTGGAGTTATCTGGCCAGTATTTGGGTATTCAGATCTAAAGCTCAAAGAGAAAACGGGTCTGAAGAGAGCGCAAGAGTCAGCTCAGGATCCACATAACCAGCCACCTGTAAGACATTGCCCCCTGGGTGCTCCACAGAACCTCTCATTCAGCATGTCCAAAAATGGATTAATCAACAAACCCATACCCACACACACACCCCGAAGTGTGGAGAAACCTACCCATACTTCACATATTGCTTATCCTGGTGCTCTTCTGCCCAGGCGTTCACATCAAATACCTGGGTATTGTCCTTCACTGCACCTGCCTTACTAGGACCCACCACCCACGCTGATTCACTCATTGGGTTCCGTAATGTCTGTCACCTACATACTACCAAATCCATACATCTTCCTACAGCTTCACTGCCACTACTCCAATTCAGTCCTCCATCATCCCCCCTGGATTACCTGACCAGTCCCCATTACCGGTTTCTCTGCCTCCCTTCTTGCCCCTTTAATCCATTTTCCACTGGACAGCCTGATTCATCCTTCTGAAATGCAAATCTGATCATGTCCCTATTCCCCAGTGTCCTTAGGATAACTATCTAAACTCCTTAGCCATCGTACAAAGACCCTTATAATCTAATCTCTGCTCTCAGCTACAGCCTCTTGCAATTTCTATTCTTCTGGATCCTTCCAGGGGCCAGGTATTTGCTAACTGAATGAAGGAATGCTTATAGCACTTTAACACATGATTAATCTGAGAAACATCTGGGCATTAGCTGTCTTACATTAACATTTTCCATGAGTGAGAGAAAAATCCTCTCTCTGTGATATCTACCAACACACTTCATTTAATCAATGTTCAGCTCATTTTTAAAAAAATGCTGTTTTTGCTTCCAGAATGATCTACTTCCTTTCTTCTTTTACCTTGTTTCCACAATGCTACATGCCTGGTCACATTTAGGAAAAAAAAAATTCCCTGAACTCTTTTGAATGCCTAAGCTCTTCAGGAGAAATATTTGTCCCCAGGACTTCTTGACCAGGGGGGAGAAAATGAATATGTGTTAATTGTTTTATTATAATACTACAGAGCCTTAACTTTGTATACAGGATAATGTGCATGGACCACAGCCAGATGGGCCAGCCTTAGCTATTGCTCACACATATGGGAATATAGATCTTACTCAGGGCCCCCTGTCATTGTGGAATTGTTTTACATTCTACATGGACCATTCTAGAAGGAAATGGGTATTGGACCATTTTTATCATATATTACTTTGGGAGAGATTAGAAATTCAAGAAGAATAGACTCTTTATAGCTTTTTGTAGGATAAACATGAATGTTTTCTTAATAAATTCAAACAGTAGACAGGCACGCAACATAAATTTGGTTTGAACAGGCATTTGTCTCCTCTAACATAATTTGGTGTGATTAGCTTTTTTAAGAGAAATCATGTAGAAGAGTTTGATTTACTTTTTTTTTCTATCAAGCTTAAAAAGGTGGCTCTCACATGCCTGATGATTTCACCATCGGCTCTTTTGCAGTCATTAGGAACTGGAAACCAGTTGCAGTGGGAAAACATAAACCAGAAAAAGATTTTATTCTCAATTTGCCATCTTTATAGACTTGCTCAGTCTGCAAAGCAAAACTACAATTATTCATTTATATATGCAATAATTCTATCACTGTTCTCCCTAAATATAGGAATTCTTCTCAACTTTATTTTTTTTTAAAGATTTTACTTATTTGACAGAGAGAGACACAGCGAGAGAGGGAACACAAGCAGGGGGAGTGGGAGAGGGAGAAGCAGGCTTCCCGCTGAGCAGGGAGCCCAATGTGGGGCTCGATCCCGGGACCCCAGGATCATGACCTGAGCTGAAGGCAGATGCTTAACGACTGAGCCACCCAAGCGCCCCTCAACTTTAACTTTTAAAACATCAGCAATAAATCCAGAAACCTTAAAGGCAAAGACTGTTTTTTATTACCTACAAACTTAAAACTTTTACATGGCAAAAAAAAAAAAAAACACCAAAAAACAAAAGGCATACACAGCATTAAAAAATAAATTGCAGACTAGCCAAATGCAACCTAGATGATGGACTGAAAAATGTGTGAAAGAAAACAGATTTACACAAGATGACATGCAAACTTTAAAAGAGATCTTTTATGTATGTTAGGTAAATACATATTTAAAAAGGATTGATAATATATAGTGTTTGAGTGGGTGTGGAGAGATGGATGTTCTCATGTGCTGCTGGTGAGAACAAATTACTACAATCTTTCAGGACAACAATTTGGCGATATGTGCCTATAGCCTAAAATGTGACCCGTTTGATCCAGCCATTTCACTTCTAGGAATAAATATTAATGAAATTGCCAGACAGATTCACAGAAATATATTTACAAGATTGCATCCTAGTATTTTACAAGTGCATCCAAGTATTATCAATAATAACAAAACGTTGGAAACCATTTAAATGCTGGCTAAATTCCTTGTGTTATACCTGTATAATGAATTATGTTGCCATTCCAAATAAAGGTGAGAGCTGTATTTATTATAATGGAAATATATTCAGAACACTATAAAACAAGATGTAAACTGACCCCCTTGTTCAGTATCTAAAGATAGATAGGTCAATATGTTTGTATAGGCATTTTGACATTGAGGGTAATATCCGCCAAATGTTAGAAGCGGTTTCCATTAGATGATAGGATTACAGTTAGTTTTTCTATAATCTGTTTACCCTCTTATAATTTCTAATTTTTTACAGCAAGAATGTTTTGTTATCTGTGCAGGAGAAAAATGTAACATTATTTCCATTTTGGAGAAAGTGAATAAGTATCAGCAGCTTTGTTGGTTGTTCCCATTTCTCTGTGTGGCTCTACTGTACTCTGTTTTCTTATCCATTTCTCACTCCCCTTAGTACACATGTTGCCCCTTAATTTTATTCTCATGCAAATTTTGGTTTCATTTTCGTTCCATGTTGTTCTCTTGGAGTGAATGGCTTCATTCTTGATATCCCCCGTCCCTGGATCTTCCTCCCCCACCCCCAGATAATCTGCCAGATTTTGTCCGTTGTCTTCAAATGTGCCTCTCAAAGCAGCTTGACTTCCAGATCCCCATCGTGATCACCTTAACCTGTCAGTATCCCCTGCCCAGACCTATGGAGTCGCCTACCGTCTGAGCTCCCAAAGGAAAGCTGCCAGGCTCTTCCTAAAAACTAAATGTGATAATAATAAAAAATAAATAAATAAAATTGAACAGAAATAAAACGAGTAATTGCTTTTGAAAAAAAAATGACTGTCATCCCCTTGCATGTAATAACTTGTGGGATTATCTGGGAACCCTTTATGGTTTGTTAGGTTTTTTTAAGATTTTATTTATTTATTTGACAGGGAGAGACAGCGAGAGAGGGAACACAAGCAGGGGGCGTGGGAGAGGGAGAAGCAGGCTTCCCGCCGAACAGGGAGCCCGATGGGGGGCTCGATCCCAGGACCCTGGGATCATGACCTGAGCCAAAGACAGACGCTGAACAACTGAGCCACCCAGGCGCCCCAGGAACCCTTTATGTTGACATGAAAAGACCTTCAGAGTCAGACCCTCTTCCTGTTCACCCCTCCCTCAGTCTCAGCCACTCAGCTTCTGAGCATTCCTAGAAAGGAATGTTCCTCTCGTGTTTCTCTGTGCTTTTGTACACTCTCCTTTCTTCCTATGCTTCTCCCCCTTCTAAAAACCTCTCCAACACCCAGTGCCAATTTTATTTCCTCTGGGCAGTCCCTCCTGATTCCTCTAGGGGGAGGATAAGGCCTCCTTTTTTGTACATTCTTACTGTATTGCCCTGAAATATTTCTGATGAAGTACTGGCCTCCCCCAGCCCCCCACCCCAGCTAAGGCAGGAGGCTACTTAAACACAAAGGCTGTTTTCAAGCCACGCTATATGCTGGCTCATGACTCACTCTCTCTCTCAAGTGTTCATTGCACATACGCCAAATACACTTCCCTCCCCGCCCTGTGACCTGTGCTTTTGCTTATTTGGGCAGTGTTTTGTTTTTAGTCATTTGATTTCCTGACCTTTCAAGACTGAACAAGAATTCTGATCCTTTCTGTGTTCTTCCCCTTTTTAGGCTTCAGATGATGAGTCTTATATCAGTGACGTGAGTGATAATATATCTGAAGACAACACCAGTGTTGCAGACAACATTTCTCGGCAAAGTATGTATCCTTTGACCTCCCAGGTTGCTCTGTCTTCTTGCCAAGTTAGAACGCTGGTGATTCAGTGAACAACTATTTTCTCCCCTCACTGGTTGTTCCTTTTGCAGCCGATCAGTCAGTACATTTTATATTTGTATAATCTGTTAAGGTAAATGGTTGAAAAATCCATTAGGGAGAAGCTTAAATGAAAAAGTTTTACTTCTTGCTTAAACCAAAAGTTTGAGTCTTTCTTATTAAATGTATTTAATTTTTTAAAATTTGACTTATCTTTTCTGGAATAATATTTGAGCATATGTAACACCTTGTTTAAAAAAAAAACTGTACGTTGATGTTTTGTGCATGTATAAGCAACCGTAGTTGAAATAATTCCACTCTTGAGAGAGTATAATGGAGGCTTAAGAAATGTATCACAACCAGAAGTATTTGAGTTATTTTCTTCCCAGATGCTATGAAATCAGAATAGCGAAGTATCTTTTATCGTGCTTCTTGTCGTTCTCTTGCTTCCAGTCTTGAATGGGGAGCTCACAGGAGGAGCCTTCCGAAACGGCCGTCGAACATGCCTGCCAGCCCCCTGCCCTGACACCAGTAACATTAACCTGTGGAATATCTTGAGGAACAACATTGGTAAAGACTTGTCTAAAGTCTCTATGCCTGTGGAGCTAAATGAGCCACTCAACACCCTGCAGCATCTCTGTGAGGAGATCGAATACAGTGAGCTTCTGGACAAGGCTTCAGAAACTGACGACCCCTACGAGCGCATGGTAATTCATAACAGAGCAGTACCTTTCAGAGAGTTGTCAACCCCAGACCTGGACTAAGGCACAATTCATTAGGTTTCTGCATAATATTCCCACTGCATAGGTGAAGGAGGAAACAGTTCATTTGCACAAATTGAGCAGGGTCCCAAAGTTCCAGATACCTCCATAGGCAGTATATGCTTTGTGACCTATTTTCGGACATGAGTATTTCTGAAGTTAGGATGTAAAGGTATCACACTCCTTCCAGGTTTAAGGCATACCTAGCCTTGCCCTAGCAGCTTTTCCTGAAAGCCAAGAGAGCCCATGCGTTCAAGCACTTGGGTCAGAGAAAGGAGCCTCCTGTTTGTGCTTTGCCCTGGCCTCTACTCCACACGACTGTGGAAAACTTGACTGCCCTCCCGAAAGTACCAGCAGCCACAAGCCTCCTGCCCATGGTGCTAAGTTGTGCAAAGGACTAACCTATAAACTGGGTTTCAGAACCTCTGAGCTCTGTGATACTCAGGAAACTGGGTGACAGCTGAATGAAGAATATTTGGCCTCAGATGCAATGACTTTCGCATCTTTTTCACTCATGTTTTTACCTATGAGTTTGTGAAGAGTCTGTGCAGGTAATAGAAAATGCAAACGCCGTCAAATCAGCACCCATGGACAGGGGTGTGTAAAATCTCGAGAAATAAGGGACAAACAGACCTGGAAGTAGTCTCTCCTATATTATTTTCCTTTCTTAAATGTTTTAACAGGTTCTTATTGCTGCATTTGCAGTTTCAGGATATTGCTCCACCTATTTCAGAGCAGGAAGTAAGCCATTCAACCCTGTCCTTGGGGAGACTTACGAATGCATTAGAGAGGACAAGGGATTCCGATTTTTCTCAGAACAGGTAGGTCCCATCGGACACATGGAGGTTTCTATGCAGACACTGTAGGAGGACAGGTTGATGATGAAACAGCTTTTTGATAAACCACTGTTTGCCGTGGGATATGATACCAGTTAACAGAAAACTATGTTAATATATATAAGTTCTCTGAGTTTAAGCATGAAGTCTTAAAGTGGAAGATTCAGTAATTTACTTACACATTCTGAGAATAATTCAATAATAGAGATGGATGAGTTGACTAGTTTATATTTGGGGGTAGCCAGTGTATGTTGGAAAAAAATGATCATTTATGGAAGTTTTAACTCTGATATCATTGCCTTCTCTTTTGTTTTTAATTACCAGGTTAGCCATCATCCACCCATTTCTGCCTGTCACTGTGAATCCAAGAACTTTGTGTTTTGGCAAGGTTTGTATTTCAATTATAACTTCAAAATCCAATCGGTGAGCCTATGAAACAGTTTCTAGTTTCTAAAGGTACCTTATGCTCAGGTTAGATTTCTACCTTTGGGACCCAGAGAATGTTAGTAATTAGTGTGGAATTCAGTTTGAGAAATTAGATTTCCTGGTTTAAATATAAAACCGTGTCATCCAGAAGATGAGATTGTATACCTAGGAAACAAAGCCCTGGGGACAGCCGAGCTCCGTGCCAACTGTGTCAGCTCGGGGCTATCACTTTACCTCATTATGCCTCATTGACTGCATCTATAACATGGAGGCTCTATCTGCTGCCTTCTTGCCTCTTGAGGGTGTGCAAGGAGATCTTAATCGTGAAAGAAGACTCTGTGACACATCATCTGTGGTCACAGTCTATTTAGGTATGTAAACATTGCGCTGATTTGTGGTCTTTAACTCACTGAGGCTCAGGGATTCAGATTGAAGTCTCTACTTGTACAGTGCCCACTGTTTAGTCAGAATGTTACAAACTCACATAAAATTACAAGTTTCAAAATCCCTTTAGAAAGAAAAATATATACAGTTGACTCTTGAACAAAACTGGGGTTAGGGTACTGACCCACACACAGTCTAAAATTCGTGTTTTACTTTTGACTCCCCAAAAACTTAACTAGTAATAGCCTACCATTGACCAGAAGCCTTACCAATAAAGTGTAAACCATCAGTGAACACGTATTTTGTATATGTATTATGTTATATTCTAATAGTAAGCTAGAGAAAAGAAAATGTTAAGAAAATCATAAGGAAGAGAGAATACACTTATAGTACTCTACTGCATTTATCAAAAAAAAATCTGCCTATGAGTGAAGCCACGCAATTCCAACCCATGTTGCTCAAGGGTCAACCAGGTATGTCCATTTAACCATTAAGTATAAATTGTTCCCTCATGTTTGGAAGGGGGCTTTATTGATCACAGAATGTCTCTTCTCATATGCCCTTTCTCAGTCTATAAACACACAAAATGATAGAGCACTGTAACTGTATTTATTGCAAAATACGAAAATACATCACTTCTTGGTCATAACAGTCAGAAATTTTGTGGAGACAGCACTAAGCTCCCTTACTTAGTTCATCAGAATGGGACCTAGTGGTTATTACAAATGCACAGGCAAACCTGAGTGTCCCCAAGTAAAACATAAAGCCATCATGTGAGATAAACACTAAGCCCTGGGCCATGTCTTAACAACCAGTGTACAAACACATTCATTAATTTCACTTTCTCATAAATTTTGCTTACCCTTCTGTATTTAGAGATTTTGTTTGTTTTTTTTTCTGTTCTCCCAAATCATATAACTTTTCAAATCAGTGTGTATATAAATCAATGGTATTGCCATACTGCAATTATTTTTACTGTGCATCTTATTTTTTTAATATATATGTTAACTATTTCTACCATTTAGTTAAAACTTTTAACAACATTTATCCAGACATTATCTGTGTGTATATGTGTATGTGGATTCACATACACACATACTGCTCTGAGCTTTTCCCAGTTTTATTCGTTGAAACAAATATGGAACATGAGTTCTGGAGAAACATGGATAGTAGATATTTTTGGTTCACAGTTAATTTTTTCACTTTGGGCCATCCCCAGGTACATGACATGTTAAATCAACAATATAGAATCAATTGTTGATTGTAAAAGTTCTTTGTGAAATGTAGAGTATAATACAGATGTTAGTTTTTATAGACTAAATAATTAGATATGGAATATATATTTCTTCTCCTCTGCCTATGTTGTTTAGATATCAGATGGAAAAACAAGTTCTGGGGGAAGTCCATGGAAATCCTGCCTATTGGAACACTGAATGTCATGCTTCCAAAGTAGGTTGCTTTCATCTTCCTTTTGGTGTCTTACCTGCTTTTCTAAATCAGAAATGGGTCTTTGAAACTCTAGAAGTTGCCAGTGATCCATTTCCACGTATGTCCAAAGCTTCTCTTAACTTCTCCAAAGTTTTGAGAATGGACCCCCACAAAAGCAAATGAGCACTTTAGTGTATGTACCAAAGCTCCCTGCTTCTCTCTTCATATCCGGTATCCATCAAGTCAATACCAGCTACCTACCTGTCCCAGGTACCATGTGAGTTTGCATTTTAGAGCAAAGGTTTTCTTTTTAGCCACTTCTTTTCTATACAATATGTATTTTCACTTTTGAATTCATCTTAGATCCAGGGACTATTTTTAATGTCTACGTTAGTTTATTAAAGAGGAGTGACAGAATCTTTTCATGGTATTTTTCTAATAAATTTTTAAATAGTTAATTGAAGTTTTTAAAAGTTAATTTTTAAAAGTTAATTGAAGTTTTCTTTGAGGCCAAAGGCTTTATTGTTTTTGTTTCTTTCTTCAGTTGGTTGGGTTGTTTGGTTTTCTTTTGTTTATTCAGTGACAGAATTTGCTGGTGTATTGGATATGAAGGAAGGTGGGGAGAGAGAAGAATTCCCAGGGCCACAAAATAGGCTTTATTTTTTTTTAGTTTAAATTCAATTAGCCAACATACAGTACATCATTAGTTTTTGATGTAGTGTTAAATGATTCATTAGTTGTGTATAAATATACTTTAAATATTTGCAAACTCATGAGAAGAAAGAGTTTTCCCAGGTGTGTAGAGAGGCTGCATCATACCAATTCATAAATTTTTTTAGAAACTTGGAAGTGTTTTATCTTAATTTGAAATAACATTTTATTTGAAAATACAGATAATCTGCAAACTTAAAGGTGATCTGAAGCTATGTCACCTCATTCCTTGGCAGAAACTCTATAACCTCCTGTAACCCAGAATTTGCATTAGACGTGCTATCTGTGATCATTAGTCTTTTCTCAAAGAGTTATTCACATTTTTGGTCTTAATTCAGAGTATGAAACAATGTCCTCAGGGTAATCTTTCTTAAAGGCACATCCTATCATGCCTATCTTCTCCCTCAAATCCTTCCACGATGGCCCATTGCCTGCAGTATGAATCCAGACTCATCGGAGCATTGTTGAAGGCCTTCTCTTTGCAGACTGGCCACCTGCTACACCCATTCACGTGTGGCGTACCATTGGCAGGCCCCCAGATGCATTGTGCTATTCTGGCCTCTGTGGCTTTGTCAGTGTGTTTCCCTGGCCTATAGTGCCCTCCTATCCCTCCTCCAAGCTTAGACTGAATCCAGCCTTCTCCAGCAAGTCTTCCTTGATACTCCCCCCAACATTCCAGGCAGATCTAAGGACTCCCCCTTCTGTGTTCTCATGACATTTCCTCATCACATTTTATTGCAAGCATTTGTTGCCATGTCAGTCTACTCCTACCCTACTGTTGGCTCCAAGAGAGCAAGAGACAGGTCCTATTCAACTTGGTGGCTTTAGCACGTGGACTATAGAAAGCACCGAAATGTTCCTTAAATGAATGAATCATATCACGAGGATCCTTGACTACATAGAAACTTGCAGCAGAGAAATTAGAGGAGAATGAGGGAAAAGGAAGTTTTGGCCAAAGAATATTCTCAGTCATAGAAACGGTACTATATATTTGTGACCTTCATTGTTTTTTAATCAACATTGTATTTTTCACTAGGTATGGAGATTGCTATGTATGGAATAAAGTCACCACATGCATACACAACATTCTCAGTGGGAGGAGGTGGATAGAGCATTATGGAGAAGTAACCATTAGAAATACCAAAAGCAGTGTTTGCATTTGCAAACTCACATTCATCAAGGTAAATGATAATCCTACAATAGTAAAGAAAAAGATAATATAAAATGCTTTGTAAAGGAGAAATATGTTACCTTAAACAACAGCAAGTGAGTCTGTCCCATATCATTGATCCTTGAGGACGTTTTAGATAAGAAAGCAGAACCAACTGGTGGAGTTAGTCAAGGTATGCAGACTTCCGAACATGTGGAGGTCAAAAAAGGCACCATCTCAAAACAGAAGAAATACTCTTCTTTCTAAAGATTTTCTTTTTAAGCAGCCAGTCAGTATTCATTAAGTAAAATTCCAGAAAACACTTCTTGCCTGAAGCGAGTCTTCTGGTTTCTATTTCTATTCCTGCTTGATTGCAACAGAGTCAAGTGATCTTATTTTAGGGAGCTAATTATAATGCATTTGTCATTTTCTGAGGATGCATGTGGATGATAACTTCCAGTCACTATAAGCTTATCCAACTCTGCCACTATGATGATCCAAATTCGTTCAAGAAAAAGCATCCCCTTGATTAACAAGAAAAGATTCCTGAGATAGAATGCCTATGCAATAGCATTTTCCCTTAGTTGCTCTGGTCTAAAGTGGAACACACAGTATTGCCCTCATGGTTAGGTGTGCTCCTGAATTCATCGTGGTACAGAAACCCTACCAGCCCTTTTAATCTATTCTACTCCTGATCTCGTTCTGCTATGGCAGAAATAGATAACATATTGGAGTCTTAAAACTCAAAATGTTCTCTTCTTAGTGAAATCCTTTGAAGACATACTGGAAGGTCATGTTAGTTGTAATTGAAGATCTTTATTTTTACTCAAGATGTTTCTCCCATTTTCCTTTTTTTGCTTGTGGACTCGTTAGGTGGCTCAGAACTGAAAGACCAGGATCATTACTTGCTCTGGTTGGGTGATGACAGCCAATGTGTGCATTTAGTTTTGAGGGCCATGGGAAGCTTTGATTTTGTCCTGCCCCTAATATTTGCAGAGCTCAAGGCAAAAGTACAAATGGAGACCCCATTCCATATGTGTAAATATTTAAAATTTGTAGATCAGACCTACAATCGGTCACATAACTTACGTTTTGTTCTTTCACCTTGACAAATATACCTTTTATAACAAAGCCCGCGAGGCCAAGTTGGGCACTTTAGGACTCCGAGCTGGAAACCTGGCAGTGCAGGAGAGCCAGCCCTGACTCATGGCCTTCCTGCCCTCTCCCCACCTGTGGCAGCCTCTGTCCTGCCCCACAGGGGACCTCACCCACGCGTAGGAAGGCAGTCCAGCTGAACGTCCAAGCTCTGTCCACATCTGCCTCAGACGGCCACCCCTGGCCACCCCTCAGGCCTCATCACACCCTGATGGTGGGTGGTCTGTCCTTTAGATGGATGAATCCAAAGAAAGCTAGAAGAAGCTTAGAGCAGCTGGGAAAGGGAATTCTAGGACCTGATCTAGAAGGGGCCATGGGATCCAGATGGGTAAATGCCCACAGACTTCTCATCTCCTGGGGAGAAGCATGGCTGGAAGAGGGCCAGAGCAGGGTTTTCCTCATGAAATTTAGCCATTTACAGGCACTATAAAAATTATTTCCCAAGTGACTTCTACAGCATGGCCCATTGAAACTCATTAAGATCCATGAACAAAGGGGAAATTTGAGACAGGGACATCTAAGGAAGAAATTACCAACCGATAAATTAGTACTAGGTTTATTAGGAGAGAAGCTGAACCTTCTCTGCCCTAGCATAGAGTAGAGCTGATCTCTTTCTTTAAAGTTAAGCCCACTAACACTTGGAAAGCCAACCTTTCATATAAAACCTTTTGAGATAGATTTCTGGAAGTGGTTCGAATGAGCGACTTCAAATCTAAGAATGTTTTCCATATGGAAATTGTAGGGATTAGTGTTATGAAAGAGATTGGATGTTTTAATTGGGGTTTGGTTTTTCCAGGTGAATTATTGGAATTCTAATGTGAATGAGGTCCAGGGGGTCGTAATGGATCAGGAGGGGAAGGTGGTGCACCGGCTCTTCGGGAAGTGGCATGAAGGGCTCTACTGTGGCGTGGCCCCCTCTGCAAAGTGCATCTGGAGACCAGGTGAGATGGGCGTGAACATCTTGTGTCCTGAGGGCACCTTGAGTGACAGAAGGACGGGAATGTCACATCTCATACAGTTCACACCATATGCTTTCTTTCATAGTGAGATTAAAAACATAGATGCTTAAAAAAAATTAAAAATAAATAAAAACATAGATGCTTAAGTTAAGCATAGTTATATTTTATACTTAACATACAAATGAGGTAAATCCCAACTTTTGATAATAAGGAATTATAAAATTTAGGCCAAATCTGACATGTGGTCAGAGATGAGGTTTCATGTAAAGTCATTCTAAATGTAATGCCTACCTTCAAAAGCTAGGTATTTTTATTTAAGAGTTTAGACAATTGAACTATACAAACATAAATCCTTACTCATTTATTCTCTGTTCTAATAAAACAAGGGAAAAGCATGCAAACATCTATAATCCACAAAGTCAATAACTTAGCCAGAATAAGTGATCTTCTCACTTGAGCAGCAAAAAGCTGCAATATGTTGACATTTAATAAAAGATATCAAGAGAGTTCTGGTATTACACTAGCAATAATTGAATATCAAGGGTAAATAGAACAAGTGTCCACATGATATTTATTTTCATTGCAATTTCGTCAGTTAAGTCCTACCTTTAAAATTAGTTGTTGGTTTTCTAAGAGACCTCAATGAGTATTTAAATTTCCTGCTGGTAGAGTGGTTAGTTCATTTATTCAGCAGCTATTTCTTGAGTAGTGACTATGCATCAAGTTTTACTCTAAGAGCTTGGAATACATCAGTGAGCAAAGCATACAAAGATCCTGCCTTTGAGTTTAGTTAAAAAGTGCCAATGAATATTAATTTAGATCTGCATCTTTTTCTTTTTCTAAAAGGAAGTAAATTGTGTTTCTGGTGAAATCTTAATGTTCATAGTTAATCACCCTGGCATTTAGTTACCCAGTTGAATATTTGAGGAAAAAATGATGACATTGTTTACCCAGTAAAGAGTACTCTATGTACAAAGTTTTATTTTAAAGGCTGGGTTTCATTAAATATATGAAACAACCAGTTCTAACTAACACAAAGTTTCCTATCTAGCAAAACACAACCAATTTAATCTGCCCAAGAAAAATCTTAATCTGATTTTTATGACCACAAATTTAGTATTCGTGTGGATATTAGTTAAGCACCTGGGTTAAGTCACCTTCTGCAGGCTTCCTTAAACCTCTCTGCCACTCACTGTGGTTTATGGGCATCATTCCAGGTTCCATGCCAACCAACTATGAGCTCTACTATGGCTTCACAAGGTTTGCTATCGAGCTCAATGAGTTAGATCCTGTCCTGAAAGATCTCCTTCCACCGACAGATGCCCGATTCCGGCCAGATCAGAGGTGAGCCTGGCAATGATGTTTTGAAATGGACACTAGATCATGACGTAGCACTACGGATGCCATCAAAGCTTATTTTCACCACCCTCATTTATTTATTCATGGAATCATTCGTGAATTCCATCATTCCCTTATTCACTCCACACTATTTGAGCCTTCTACCCTAGCTAAGATGGTATTCTCAGGGGATCGTAACAGATGTTTAGCTCAACAAAGTTTCCCACAAGAGATAACACAGTTCTTAACAAAAGGTCCCTGCCCCCAACCCCAAATTCGCCAGAAGTGTGCAAATTCGTGAACTCTGCTCCACTAAAACCTCCTCCAGAGTTTTCACCTCTTTACTTCTACCACTCTGTCACATGGACTATCTTTTAATCTGAAGAATAAGAAGATAAGTTACAGGAACATCTAGAAATGCTCCGAGTCAAAGACTGGAGTTTGTCCAGCGTGGTTTTGATCCCATGGGATGTGAGATGTACTCAAAACGCAGTCCCTTTAATGCCTTCTGATTCTTATTTTTTATTTTTCTTATATAGTTCTGTATGCATGTTGTCCATTCCGACAGAGTTAATTTTGCTTTTTCCAAAAATTCTATATGCCACACAAATTCCACCTGAGATCATTTTCTGTTTCCAGTGTATCTGTGGCTTTATGTGTTTTCTGCCAAAAAATTCCAGTGTTGAATGTCCTACTATTCAGTTCTCTTACACTCCCCCCGCCCCCAGAATATGAGGTCTCCCTGTCTGACATTCCAGTGTGTCAACAAACTTCCCATGTGCATCACATTGAATCCCTGTTCTTTGCTCTCATTTTGACATTTAAATATAGGTTTTGCAAATCCCCGCTAGGTCTGCTTTTTCTTTCTCAATTCTATTCCAATATTCCCTTCCTGAATTTCATTTATGATTCATTTCCTTTTTTGCAGCCTTTTGTAATTTCCCCCAGTGTTAGATTCTCTTTTTGTCACCAGTTTTACTCTCTTGATAAAACAGGAACACTCCTTCCCTCTTAGTCTGTTCTAAAAGTAGGTGGAGAACAGCCAGCTACCATCCTCCCTCCTCTGGCCTTTACCAAGTGTTTTTCCGATAATATGGAAAAGGAGCGCAACCGGTACTTCATATTGTCCTGAGCCTGGGCTCTCCCATCATCCTGAAAATCTCAAGTTACAGAACCCAGCAGAGCACAGAAGAGTCTCCAAGGCCAAACTACCCCCCTTCCACCCCTAGCTTCACATTGCTGTACACAGTAATGAAGTTGACATACACAGCAAGTATGTTATTGGTGGGCAGACAGACAGAGGTAGCATGGCCTGGGGTGGGAGCAAGGGCACGTTATCAGAGTATGACTGTTCACCGTGTTATATTCTCAACAACTAGAAGGTAATTTTATACAAGACAAAATTATTTTTTTCCCGGCAAAGAGGATGGTGTATTAGAGGGATAACTGTGTTCTGCTTAGATTTTTGGAAGAAGGAAATTTAGAAGCTGCGGCCGCAGAGAAGCAAAGAGTGGAGGAACTCCAGAGATCTCGAAGGCGCTACATGGAAGAAAACAACCTTGAACATATACCAAAATTTTTTAAGTAAGTCAGTTCATTCCCGTTAACAAGTTCATGTTTTGCAGATGATTGCCACCAGCCATGAGAAACTCCAGGTGTAAAGGGAAAATGAGGGATAGTTTAGTGTCCAGGGAGCTTAAAATTAAACTGATTTGGGTAACTTTGGTTTTGGTAGTGAAAGTATTGAACCAGACTTTGCACTTGTGAACAGTTTGTAACCGCACAAATCAGTTCTCCTCCACAGCTCTTTTCTTTTCGTGGGCAGCAAAAAGGGTGAGGGCCTTGCCCGGAAGGCTCTTTGTACTTCAGCTATACCATTGAGAATGGTAGAAACTTGTTTCCACCCCCTCAGCTCCAGGCCACAGTGAGACCCCACTGCCCACAAAGTCATCCTGGCTTCAGTAGCATTTAATTTTATTTCTGTCATACGGGGCTTGTGTCATTCAGATTTGGCCCTTCTGTGGGATTATCATGGGTGATTATTACAGGGTGATTTGTAGGATTATATATACATCACACAGATGAACCTGTATTTTCCCGATCCATCTGTTACCCTCCAGAGCCAGGACGCATCAGCTCAGAATAACCTCATGTCCTTTAGAGTTGCCATCTCATGACTGCCCTGGGGAGGAATGCAGCCTTGCCCTTTAGGTGTCGAAAGTGCACCCTGGGCGTGGAGCACGCAGGGGCTCCTAGAGCTACTGAGGTCTCATACTCTTCCCTGCAAGTGAAGCAGAGACTATTCTTGTGGGTCCGGGGCCTGAAGCTCTTAGTACAAAACTTGTACGTGCTTTTTTTTTTTCTTTTGGTAAAGATTTATTTGAGAGAGACCGTATGGGGGGGAGGGGTAGAGGGAGAGAGAGAGAGAGAGAGAGAGAGAGAGAGAGAAAGAATCCAGAGCAGACTCCACACTGAGCGTGGAGCCCAGTGCGGGGCTCCATCTCACAACCCTGAGATCACGACCTGAGCCAAAATCAAGAGTCAGCGACTGTACCACCTAGGTGCCCTGTACCTGCTCTTTTGGGGGGCAGTTCACTTTCTAGCCTTGCCTAGAAGTGATTTATTTGTGCCCTTTTCCCCTCTCCCCATGACCCCATCCACTCCTATTTCAAATAAACAACACAAACAAAAAGGACTTTGTTTTGGTCAAAATAGTCAAGTCAGGGGCACCTGGGTGGCTCAGTCAGTTAAGGGACTGCCTTTGGCTTGGGTCATGATCCCAGGGTCCTGGAATTGAGTTCTGCATTAGGCTCTTTGCTCAGCGGGAAGCCGGCTTCTCCCTCTGCCTGCCGTTCTCCCTGCTTGTGTGCACGCTCTCTCTCTCTCTCTGACAAATAAATAAATAAAATCTTAAAAAAGATAGTAAAGTCATCAATAAGCGGATAGGACACTAACTGACTTACAAAGTACCCCTTATCCATACACATCCTGTCTACGGGAGAGGGTCCAATGACCAGGCCACCTTGACGTCATTTGTGTCTAATGTTGATTCTTGTATTTCCACAGAAAAGTCATTGATGCCAATCAAAGAGAAGCCTGGGTTTCTAATGATACCTACTGGGAGCTGCGAAAGGACCCTGGGTTTAGCAAAGTAGACAGCCCTGTTCTTTGGTAAACTGGGAATGTAGAGCTAGCCAACATATCATGCTCTGAATGAATAAATAACTATGCACAATTATGTTTCCTAGAGCTCCGCGTGGTTTCTGGGTCGACTGAAAACCGACCGTTTGCTTTTCTATTCATCTTTATAATGGACTTTCAGAAGTGCATTAGACAAGGCCCCTAACCACTTTTGGATCCTTTCTGTTTTGCTGCAACCATATCCCTTAAAAAACATCCACACCCTCCTTGAAAAGCAGAATAAAAGGAGCGGAATATCAAACCCAAAGTCTGAAGTGTTTGTAAAGAAAACAAACTGTCACTGGTGCTTAAAGCCGATCCAGAGAGTTTAAAGCAACATGACATATAAACCACGCTTTTGGTCCTTTGTCTGGAAGCACCATCCCCGCATCATAGAAGCTCCCGTGCCACGGCACTTGGTCAGCTCAGACTTCGAGTGTGTCCGTTTGATGTGGTGTACTTGTGCTGACCTTGTCAAAAAAGATGTGATACTCCTCAGACCCTGTTCCGTCCGTACGCCATTGTTCATGCCTTAAGAAATGCAAAGATGTACAATAAATCACTTTTTAAATGTGTGCTCATAGGTTTATGTGAGGGACAGCTCTTTTGAATCACGGCATGATTCACTTTCTGGGCTCAGAACAATTATGAGACTAACGTAAGTGGATTTTTAAAAAGGTAAACTACACACGCTCTACTTTGATACGTTGGTGACTGTCTCCTCTACCTGAAGGGCAAGAAGGAAAAGGTGTGCTCAGTAGATCTCTGTATTCACATTGCTCGTCAAGTTCCTGTCCTGCGCCCAGATAATAAACCCTCTTCCGCCTAATCTCACAGTGTGCCCTCTTCTTTGGCAATATCTGTATTTGATTTGAACACTTGGCATCAGTGTTAAAAGCGTAGACGGAAATAACAGAAAGCATGTGGAATTTCTGCGTGGGCTTAGGAGTCACTGTAAATGGAACTATTTCTGAGTGGAGCACAATGTAACCCGCATCTCTGTCCTGGGCCCCAGCCCTGGGCACTCGCAGAAGCCCACTGGGAACAGAAGCGAGAGTACTAGTAGCTTATTTGCATTGTTTAAATGAGTTCTATGCAAAATCATATTTTATATTTTCATCGAGTGATTCTGTATGTACAGATACGTAACGACGTATTAGGCATTTGCCTTGCTATTGGCAGAGATAATAAAACAAGCTAAGGAATTTATCCATCCCAACAAAAGCAGGGGGGAGGGGCAGAAATATGCTTTGCATACTTCAGGATTTGTTTTTTCTTCCAATATACAGAGGCTTTTGTAAGAAACTTGCATCAGTGTTCCTGAGTTTCTGCACGTAGATGACTATATAAATGCCTGTATGTTTAAAAAAAAAAAAATCTCTTCAGAGTTTTTCCTAGAGAATTATAAAATTACATATATTTTATTCTTAGGGTCTTACCATCAGATTTTAAGTGCTATTTTAAACTCTGATAACAAGGTTATTGACGTTTACATTTTGTTATGAGGTGTTGATTTTAGTGTTCTTTCTCCTCAGCCAAGCATTCCTAATTAATGGCTAACCCGCTCTCAAACCCCACCTGCCGCTTAGAGCAGAAGGGAAAACTCTGGAGTCTCCACTAGGTGGAGCAGTGTGTTAGTTCTGAAGCTCATCCCTCTCCTTGTATTTGAGGCCCTACATTATGTGTACTGTAGGGTTTAAAGTGAAATTTCCTTTTCAAAAGTAAACTCCCTAATCCATCACCAGATCTAAGCATTCCACTGGAGCAACACCCTCCCTAGGCTTCTCAATGCCTTTAATTCCCATTTTAAATCTGTAGGTGGCTTGCCTCGAGGTAGTAAAATTATTCCCTTGTTATTGATTTTTTTCTGTGCATTCATTGTCTTTTTATCTGCATCCTGAGATACATGCCTTTAATTTCAACTAGAATTTAATTAGAATTCAGTTGTCTTCCCCACAGAAGTCTGTTCTTCCACAGTCGGTAAAGCTTTAAATACTGTTTAAAGGGGTTCTGGTCTGTACTTACTAGCACTTCCCTGAACAGTCTCAAAATATGTAGCCTAAAAATAAGAAGAGAATTCTGCAGAGCAAAAGTGCTCCAGTAGAGAAGTAGGAAGGTGAGGCATTAGGTGACCATGGGCGTATCAGCCCGACACCTGAAAGAGGGCCGGGGCCCATCGGGGAAGCAACTGCCGTACCTGGCATTCGGGCTGAAATGGGGAAAAAGAGTAACTACTAGAAAGGACCTTCACTAGATAAGTTCAAGCTACAAATCAAGTAGGTAAATGTTGGTCAGAGCTAACCTGAAACTCTGATTAGGATGAGAATGAGAAGAATGTCACATTAATGAAAAGCACCACATTTTAAAATACCCCAGATTTAAAATCTCTTTTGAGATCCAGATAGTCTGATTAGACTCCTAATTCCAGGGTTCAATTAAGTTTTAGGTAATCCTCCTATGCTACCTGATTCACAAATCTCCCTATTAAGTATTCATGCCCATGTAATGGTCTCCCCCCACCCACCCACCCCCTGCCCACTGCCCTTTTTTGAACTTTTGATTGATAAATCACGGTTTTAGGACAGTGAGACTTATCCTGTTTGGGATTTTCATCCGCATAATCTGGGGGCTTTTGAAACTAGTTTAAACCGCAAAAGGATAGAGTAAGTATTAAATCATTCCTGATAAAACCTGACTTCTTTCTTAGAATTTTATATGAGCCTCTTTGTTTCAAGGGTCCTTTACTTACTTGTCTTTCCCCTCAAACAATCTAAACTAGAGGAAGACTTAATAGGTCTTTATACCTCCCCCGTGATTTATTCATCAGCTCTTTCATCTTTCTGAGCTGGTCATCAAGGAAAGCAGTAATAAGTAATGATGGTCCTGTGGATGTGGCTAGACTGAGCAGACCAACGGCCCACACCAGCACTCATAGAGGCCGACCAGAAACCAATTATTTTGCTTCCATATGGAGGCTGCCACCCATGGTGGAGATTTACTCTCAGATTTTGCTGTTATTGTTGTGGTTTTTTTTAATTAAGTCATTATTTTTCATGTGTTACTTACAAGTACCCCATAATTTCCAGGCAGTTGTAAAAATAAACCTCATTTAAGATACCTTTTAATATTGCCTGTCAATTACATGTGACATAAAAACTACCAAATGTATTTTCCAAGGAAGAGAAACCAAGGGGTTGTCAAGGCAAAGGATGCCAGGCTGCTGATTTTCCAAACTCTTGCTCCACTTCATCTTTCTGGTCCCGGTGCCTTTCAGCAATCCCACTAACCAGTCGTTAGGGATTAGAGAGGAACCCAATCGATGGTTTGCTTAGTGACTGGAGAAGACTTTATAATCATAATCTAATGTATAATTTTGTTATTACAAAAATTAATTATCCATCTTGTCTAATCTTGTTCCCTGTCATCCGAGATAATGAAGTGTTTGGGGGAGCAGAGCTCCTCACACACCAGGGGGTGTAATAAATGTTTGCACTTGGCTCAAGTGGTCATATTATGAATGTGGCACAGTAAATAAAGTTTGTGTACGAAATACCAGTTTATTTCTATGGGAGCCATTATGTTCAGGATATATATAATGTATCTAATTAAACAATTATGCATCTATCTTGTGCTCTAGAAATGTTCTTTTGGGGGAAAGATGGAAAAAAATGTAATTGGAGCTAAGATTAAAGTGTTTTTGGTTTTGTTGGGGTTATTTTTTTGTTTTCAAAAAGCTTCCCAATCCTTTGGAAATACTGCTTATCAAAACATGATCAAACCCTCTAGGTTTTAACTGAACTTCTTTTGTAAAATTGATACATTTAAAGCATACGTTGCATGAATCATTCTGTTAAGACTGACTTTGTTTAGGTTTAACACATGACTGTGAGAACACACCTTACATAGGTTCTTTGGGGAAGACAACTGAGGATGCACCTATGTGACTGAACTGTAAGACCCTCATTGCAGCCTTTGCTATTAGAGAAAATGATAAATTGCCTAAGAAGGGGTTACCTCTAATTCTTTCAAAATGAGATCTAAAAACAGAATTCTTTAAAACTTTTTGTGATGAAGCCGCATGCCCAACATTCAGAGCAAATGAAGCCCCATGATTACACGGGGCAGTTTCCTGTCTGTTACATGCATCCTTTTGTTTTCCAAAACCACCATCATTTTTCTCCTTCCCCTGGTCCTAACATAGTGAGGGGCAGGGATACACATGTCTGTTCTTTTGCATTGTGTCAGTGAGTATGGGGAAAATATGCAGTATTTAGGCACAGTTGCAGGGAACCCCTGCATTTAGCCTCTGTGGAACACTATTAAATGTTCATGGATTTAAAATTGCCCCCTAATTACATATTATTCGTTTCCTTGGTTTCTTCAGATTGGTAGGAAAAAAAACAAAACAAGAATTTCTTAGTTTCTCCAATTCTTTTCCCATTATGCTTCCTTCTAAATATAAATTTAGGGCAATTGTGATAAAAGGAATCTAAAGTTTTCAGAAAATAAGGTATAATCCTATTTTAGTCCACCTGTTTCTTCTTACTTTAATAAGGTAAGCGACAATTTAATACTGTTAAACAGAAGAATGCTAAAACTATTACTTCTTTTATCATAGGCACCAACTTCCCCGCACCCCCTATTTATCGTCATCCAGTTATTTCTTTAGGAAACGATGTAGTTGCTAGAAACTTTTTTCAGTCATTTCCAGACTCTATCTCTTACTGAGATAGAGCTGGCATAAACTTTACATATATGAATGAGTAATTTGATCCATTTTGACATATATGTACATTCTTGACACCATCGCAACAATTACAATAATGAAATCCATCACCAGCAAACATTTCCTCTGCCCCTTTATCATCCCTCCCCTGCCCCCTCCCATCTGCCACACCGAGGCAATCATTGATCTACTTTCATTACTTCTTAAAAATCTGCATATTTTCTTGTATTGCATATGGGGTTTTTCTAGAAGACTGTGTGCATATGGTAGACCTGTGCCCCCAAACGCCTCCTCCGCCACTACCCCAGTATCCACCATCAATACTAACATGTTACAAGAGGATCTCATTAAGTTCTAGGTCTGGTAGCCCAGTAGAAATTTTAGATTTTAAATAGGAGACAATAAACCATTTTCATATCAAAATGGCCGTGTAAGTTAATGAATTCATTTCCATCTTTGCGGTGCGGGGGGGGGGGGGGTATCCAAAGTAATGGTAACGATGAACTTGTTGGCAGTGCTGTGGAAACCCCGGGAAGGGTTTTCCTCTTGTTTGTAAGGAACACTATGAGAATCCAGAACGACTGCTCTCAAAATGATGGTGTCTTGATGATGACGAAGGAAGGCTTGGCTGCTTTCTTTATTATTTGCCAACCCTAACCCCCCTTTTGGGTCACAAACATTTGAAACCTCCAGGGCTCAAAAAAGACTGCCTTTCCATCTTTCCTAATGCATTCACTCCTCATCTGGAAATCAAGTAAGCCTAACTTTCAGAAAGAAATGGAAATGAAGAAGCTGTTGTCCAGGGAGCTTCCCACCATTGGCCGCTGTGCAAATTGAAAGCTTATTCCTTCCTTCCTGCCTCGCAAAGCCTGTGGCTCAAAAGTAGAAAACTTTTCCAGAGACTGTCAAATACAGCATGATTGACATTAAATGCTAGTGAAGAAAAAAGTCAAGAATGGGTAAAAGAGAAACGGAATCTGAGAAAGAAATGTAGGTTCCCTAAGTGGGGGTGAGAGTCATGCTCCTTGGGGGCGCATGGATGGATCCCAGGGGGCCAAGTTATTGCCTCGGGTGTTTATTTACAGGCAGATTTCTGAGCTTCCCTCTGAAGATTCTGAGTCCCTGGATCTAGGGTGTGGACCAAGAATCTGCATTTTACCAAGCACACTTGGCCCCTAAGAAATCTTGAGGCAGATGGGAAACCGCCATGAGCATGGGCTGGCCCAACTGCCCACTCCCTGCTCCCTGCTCCAATCTCAGGATTTTGTTTTTTGTTGTCTCATTGTGACATTTAGGAGTCAACAAGAAAGTCTACTTCAAGGAATAAAAGCTGACTAGAGCCCGGTGACTTGTGCCTCACCCTGCCACGCGTGGCTTGTCACTTTGATGACTTCTGTCCCGAGGCCAGTGCTGTGATGTGGAGGTGAAGAGAAGGGAGGACAGAACTCTGAAACCTGAAAGATGGGACCGCGTTAATCAGAGACCGCAAAAGTCCTGTTCTGGGGGGATTCTAACCAGCCCAGGTACACAGAATCTCTGCTCTTCGAAGCCATGGATCAACCTCTCCTGCCTCACCTCCCCACTTAGATCTGGTTCATGCCTCCAAGGGAGGTTTTAAAATCGGGCTGAGGAGGGCCTCCTGGCCTGTGGAAGCGCACAGGGAAATTCCATGGCAAAGCACACTCTCGGTAACCTGACAGATTTTCATAACGAGGTATAGCAGCAAATTCTTTAGCCACATCAGCTTCTTCCCTGAAAATATATTTTTAAAATTTTTGTTTTAAAAAACTCCACTGTGAAATTATTCTGCTTATAATTGAACGTATAAAGGCAATAGTCATACCGTTAGTTTGCATATGGTCATTTTGAGATAGAAAAATTCAATTTTATCTTATATTAGGAGTAGAATTTCAAGCAACTTTCTACAGAAAAAAATAGCTTGTGGTTAAATTTCCTACTGAAAGAGTAATTATTCACTGAAAAATATTGTCTAATATGTGCCACCTCAAAATAAGAATTGTGCCTCTTCAATGAATGTTGTGTACCAGAATGTTACATTTGTAAGGGCACAGAAAACTCAATAAATTTTAAACTACATAAAGAGGCTTGAGTTTTGTGTGTAGCGTGTTCTAATGACCTGTCCACAAAATGAGTAAATATTGGTATCTCCAGCAAGAGACTTGAAGTTGGATTTAAAGAAAATTGAATACTTACATTGACTACATTTCCAGCTCCTTTTTTCATGTACTAACAATGCAAAACCTGTTTTCAAATCAAATACTAGGACAAGGGATTTCTCCCTGAATTTTGAACTTATTTATATGAAGGCTTAGGAAGCTGGTTTCAGTTTTCTATTTTGTTTCTAGATTATAGGAGTAAAATTATATGTAGTTCTTAAAAGCTGCAGGAAACTCAAGCCGTCATAGATGAGTTTTTCCATTGCTGGGCTCTTGGGAAAGCCCCTAGGGATTGGTTTTTCTTCATCCAATAGTCCTCCCTCAGAAAGAGACTATTCATAGGGAGTATTTTTCTGTCACTGAGGAAAACCTTCTCAATAAAATATTGACAGTGTATTTTGTTTTTAATCTTCGTACACATTGTAAGCAGAAGATTTATCAGTCTTGACCTCTAAATCTCTAATTTCTTATAAAGAGGGAGAGGAAGAAGTGTTTTCAGAGGAAATGTCAAAGCAATATACCAAGCCTTTGGTCACTAGAATTCCCAAATCAGTTTCCTCTAGAAATATTGGCAGTTGGCCTATTTCAATCCTGCTAGAATATGTTAAGCGCATAGTCCCCTTCAACAACCCAGTTCACTGTGGAGCGTACACGGGGTGGGGCCTCATCTCGACGCTGTCCAACCACGGAGATGTGAGGGTCTTGTCACAACACCTCCTGGGGATGGGGTCCCAGGATTATAGTGAGAAACGTCCATGTGGGTGGCAGGAGCGCACAAAGAAATCTTCCCTCCTTGCGTCCTTTTCTGCATACACACCAGAAGTTCTTAGAGAGATAGAGGGAGGGAGGAAGAAAGGGAGAGACAGACTGAGAAAATAAGAATTTCAGATGCCAAAGATATGCCACTCTCCTTGCTGTATGGAATAGAAAGCAAATGGAAAATAAGTAGCAAAGAGACACAGTAGATGAGACTTTTATTTGTGTAGTTTGTGATTATAGAATCATGGTTGCCATGTCACTTCCCTGGTCCAAGGATGAAATCGTGCCAGAGAATGAACCTCTTCCGAGTACACATAGCCCCAGTTACATGACACTATTGTGGGTTTGTAGGTAGTGATTTCTTGGTTTCATTTTAGCTTCCTGGGTACAAAATGCAGATGCACACAGATAAATACAGATGAGCTCCTAACTAGGCAGCAACACAGTATCTGATTATACCGGAGGATGGCAGGGCAGGGAGCACCCCCAGCGCGGCTTTCTCAGTCAGCAACGTTCAGGTTTGTAGTCTCAGCCCTGAGAGTTCAAACTCATTTTCTAAATTCCCCACAAATTTGCCAGACAGAGTTAATAATATTTAATGGAACGTTCTAAACTTATTTTGTCCAGAAAAAGATGTTTTTCCACAGACAGCCTAGCTCAACTGATGAAAATGCCTAAAGCTAGCATGGTTAGAACCCCTCAGATTGTTCATTATTCATTTAGATGTTTATTTTTACTGTGTTAGCATTTGGGACAGATCCTGATGACAAATCTATGTGGGTGGTATTATCCATGCTTTCACATTGACAATTCTGGGAGAGCTTGTCTCACCATCTACGTGCTGCTACCTTCCCAACAGATTTGGGGAACCACAAGAAAGAAATTTTCTTTTTTCTAACCAGTGGGAAATTTGCAAAGCTGCTAACTTATGAACAACATTAGTGATTTTAGAGATGTTCCAG